AACATCAAACCAACGATAGACGCAGACAGACCATTTTGCTATAAGTCATCTTTGGAGAGGGTCGGTGAAAGACTACCGCTCCTTCCGGAATAAGTACTTGAACTCCGATCATGCATTAGCATGGGCACTTGTATATACACATCTTACTGAGCGCAGAACACAGGCAGCAGGGACTGAAGGATGCGAACATCAAATACATATTAACAGAGGAAATAGCTATGCATCTCTGTAAACCCGACAGCAATCTTCATGCTAACAAAACCTGGTGTGACATTGCGTTTACCATAGAAATAGAGGAAAATACAGTTGGTTACCCGCATCTAAAGGTTAGCAAATATTAAGATACTTCCGTAACTGGACTGGAATGAGAGAAGGATCATAGTGGCCAGAGCAAGACCTGCAACCAGTCAATGAACTCTCAAACTGTTGGTCTGAGCCGCGTAGAGATGTGTAGACTACCTGGTTAGAGTTCCTGAAGCGGTAGTAATTGGTTCTACTCTAGCCTACTTATTAGATGTATCACATAGTGAAGCACCATCATTTACTGTCTGAGGATAGGAAAATTCATAATTTATTCATACAACCTTATCCAGTAAATAATTCTGTCTCATGGTGTGATGCAACTAATAAAAAGATTAAAATGAAATTAAAATATACCACCGTGCCTAAGTTGTACTCCTATATTGATAGGAATCAAGGGTTGAAGACACTTGGGGACATGGCTGAAGATCATTAAACCTTATTTTAAAATTCTTACTTTTCTCAAATATCTTTATCGACTTTGATGGGAATCTTTTTCTGTCCACTTATTCTTTGTATACTGCTCTAATGTGTGGCAATTTGAAACGATGCATTTGTATGCAGGGTTATGCGTTGATTTTATCTGCTTGCCTATGTATCTGTTTGTCTATCTATCAGATATCTTTGCCCAGAGAAAAACAGTGAAAGTCACAGGCAATTCATTCAATTCGATGGTAACTCCGCTACTTAACTTACAGAATTAATACTGTTTTCACGAATATGATCTAAATGGATGACTCAGAAAAAGCTAATAAAATAACTGAAGGACATTAACTTCTTTGGCTTCTGGAATATAAGAAGCTTAGCATTATTTCCTAAACCTAAAGGAAAATTGAGGTGCACTCTGAAGCACCCAACAGAGACCAATAAGTTCAATGCAGAGTAATAATCACCAAAACTGACTGTCGTGACTCAGTAGTACTGTGGATAACACTGTGTAGTGATAAGCAATGAGTGCTGGGTTTGAGTTTTGACACGAACACCATTACACTAATTTAGAAATATCTAAATGGTTAAATTTAAGACGAACTGTGCATTTTGGATTTCTCCACCAGCCAACGAATATGAAAGGGACGATGAAAGTTGGAAATGATTACGATATGGCAAAATTCTTGAACAAACTCAAGTTACTGTCGTTTGAAAACTCCTACGGTATACTAGTAATCAACTCTCTAGACAACAGTGATTTGCTAAAATTCAGCGTTTTGAGAAATTGTATTACACATACATATTATGCGACATGTATGATACTTAATCAAATTTTCTTCCGAGATCATAAACTGGACATAAATTTAAGCAAACTGCCGATTAACTGAGTAGTGTTTCTAAGCTTCATTTATAGAAAATCAGAAATTATTTAGAGTGTTTGTGTGTCAAGTGATTTCTTTAGTTCCTCTCAATCGGCGGTTGCTTAGGTCATCATTTAGTAGTCGGTTCATCTGTGCAATCTGGACACCAAGTTTGTCAGTAGAGATATAACTCAAGAGTGATTCTTTTGGGAGGAAACATGAACCTACTAAAAGTTGTAATTAACTAATAGTGGTCACTATGAAACAAATATAAAATTAAATTTTTCTCACTAGAACACAATGATTTAAACATAATCTGATACATATTGGAATTTCGGTCATTCTAACAAAACAATTTGAATTGATCTCATTTTTTGAAAGTTTTTCTTATGCTAAGTGACTTGATAACTTTCAATTGATTTCTAGTACACAGTTATATACGTTTGCAGTTAATGCAATTTCAATTTCACTCATATATAACATATACTAGGCTTTCGAAAAACATCCGCCAACAAGTAACTGCTAAATGAATTATACCTCAGGTGTTAAGAGACCCCACTATGATATCTGATTCAGAGGTACAGTGATGTGTTCTCCAACAGTTGTGTTAATCTTCAAGTTGACATTTTTTAATTGAAGCCATCATTATCAATCTAGACAATGACTTTAATATCATCTCGTTGGATAAACCCTGATGAATTGTTTTATGAGACTACTGACTGCGTTGCAACCAACGTACCTGATATTTTCAAAAAAAGAAAGTAGAACAAAAATTGAAGAATAAATTGAGCTCATATTTATTTCTAGGCTTCTCCTTAGTTGCTAACAGTTAGGAGGAATCGGTCTTCAATATAGATACAACAATAAACTTTACGGACAAACAGATAGAGTGGCAATGAATTCACTATTGGATCCTCTTTTAGCTGACTGCTTCATGATCAGTCTGCAAAACAGTAAACTGCGTCCATTGACCGATCAGTTCCATGTATGTAAGATATACGTGGATAAAACTTCCATCATCTGCAAGGAGGATGGTAACGTTAAACATATACTCTGAGAATTCAACGAATATCACAAGTCAGTTAAATTTGCCATGGAATCTAAAAATAACTCATAATTTTACCCAGCTCCACAAGAGGTAGCCTAAAGTCTGTCCTTTACATACCCTCAAATTAGTTGTTAACTAGGGAAAACAATCCGAAGTTGGTTGGAAAAGAAGGTCTTCTTCAGTATTTTGTACAACCGATTCTTCTATATCCCTGCCATTGTATCTCCCTTGAATCTAATATACATAAACACTGTTTTCCTAAGAGTCCTATGGGTTTTTCTTTAAAGTGTTCAGGTCATATGTTCTTCTCAGTGAATTCTGAATGAAAACCTTTCTCAATTAACATTCTTCGAAGTACTTCCAACTCCCCATTGTTTACATAATCCCTACAAGTTCTTCTAATTCTTGAGCGTAGAAAATAAATTAGGTTTTTCTTCTTGACTAGTGGAACGAAGCTCTGAAAATCAGTATATTGTCCATTCCAAGTTTTTTTCCTGTAAACCGATCTTTCAGGAAACTGTCATGTCTTCTCCTCAATAGAACGTCCAAAAAGAGGAATTCTGAGTTATTTCTAGTTTCCATAGTAAATTTAATTGACGTGATATTTATTGAATTCTCATAGGTTGTCTTCAACGTTACTATCCTCCTCACAGATGATGGAAGTGTCATCCATGTATCTCTTACATAGATGGAACTGATCGGTCAACAAACTCATTTTGCTGTTCTGCATACTGGCCCTAAAGTAGTTAGTTAAGGCACCACCCAGTGGGAAATCCAAAACTAACCCATTCTTTTGTGAATAATGTTCACTATTGAATCTAAATTGTATTTTAAGGAAGCGTCGTGAGAACGATTCCTTTAATTGTTCTCACCTGAGAAGCCGCCAAGTAGCAATAGATTAATCTTCATCACCTTCTGAAATACAGATTAAGTTTATACTGTTTGGTTGTCATTAATTTTATTACCATTACTCTGTAAATTTTGTTCTTATTGCTTTAAAGAAAATCATGAAGCAAACAAATTGTGTATATATCTGGCAGTGTTGACCATAAATGTTCGGCAGTTAGACCTTAAATTCCTTCACAATTATTATTTCAAAGCAGATCTCTGTAGTTTGAAGGTTTGGGCGCGTTTATTGATATCGAGTTGATATTCATCACGGACTGACATCAGTTGGAGAAACACTGACATCTATTTTGGCCAAACATGGGACTCTCCAGTAGTGCTCACTGGTGAAATAAGCAAATATGAACCTCTTGATTGCAACTCAGTATCTCGTCAGCAATATCTTTGTCATAGGATCTGAAGATACTGGGCTGCATCCCTGACAATATCGTGGATGTGTGCTGATAAGGATTACCATACCGGGAGGAAACAGCTGTCCAGTGTTTCTATGTTTTCAATGGTTCTCTAAATGATGTCAGTTCGTGATGAAATAATTTGAATAACTCCTCTTATTTTGACTGAGGTTCGGGACTATAAACTTTCATCACTAAAGCGAAACTTATGCGACTTTATGTAGCCCAAAGTAGTGATTAAATGGTATCTACTACATTTGTTATTTTGCTACGTAGACAATAAGTCGCCATTGTGGTGATTTGCTCCACTGAATGTTTTGTGGTCTTATGGTGACGGTAAAAACATAATATCCTATATATCATGCTTCTTCACACTGTTTGCAATGTTACATCTCCAGCCTTACAGGTTTGGATACATGTAACACAAAGACCCAGTCCTTCCACCTAATCAAAGCCTATAGATTATGATTCAGACGGTCAACTAATAAAATGTGTGAGCTTAACCCTCTGGTGAATGTTATGGTCTCGGACAGAAAGCCACTTCCGAGACTGTAAAACATAACTTTGTTTATGAGTTATAATAATATCTGTGAGGAATTTGTACATCGTGAAGAGAATCAGTTTATGATGAGTGTATTTGTTCGTAAGCATTAATAAACACGAAATCTTGTTAACTGTCTTCATCTGTTTAGTACAGAACGACCACATATTTTGAAAACACTCGGTGAGAAAGTTACGTAACAGGATCCCGATTCCTTTCTCCATTTTTATTTCTCTCTTTACATTGCACCTATCTCTAAACGTGTGATAATCTATGTTACCTCATACATAAATCATCTTTCTCCGGAATAAAATGCAACAGTTAAGCCCATGATCATAAATTTCTCAGTCATGTTCATCTCAATAGTCAATTTTTACTAATTAATGTTGTTTTTTTTGGAAAATATTTATTGAGTTCCGAATGCAGTTTTCAGTTTCAGATGATCGCTAAATTAATCATGATGCATTGTTTATTTCCTCTGCTCCTCTCCTTCTGGCCACCCGCAAAATCCTTACCTCTCTCAGGACTTATCGGTGACAATTACATGTGATCGTACAATTGATGAAGTTGAATTAGTCGCCTCACCAACAGAAGTTAGTCAAGTAGATGTCAGATGTGCAGAAGACAGTCAGGAATGGAAGATATTTCATCATGTTGATGTAAGTTGATAAAAATAAAGGGTAACAGATTTCGATAAGCTAAAATCATTGCTATTTCACCTGCTTATTTAGAAAGATATTCAAAGGCCTAAAAGTTAAGCTTGGTAATATGCATTCTTAAATGAATCGCTCCCTAACAGAGGCTCTGTAATCTTTGATAATCAGCGCTTGTTGGTTACCGATTTGTGACTGGTTTGGGGAGATGCTCTAGATGTTGCCTGAATTATTTAGTGTTAAAATGCCTGATTTAGACAGTGGTTGACGCAGGTTCAAACCAACCAGAGGACACCAGCTTCTCCATGTTACCAGATATTTTGCTACTGAGTTCCAGGATATACGAAACTCAGGTCAGAGGCAGTTTCCTGACAATTAGCAACAATATACATCTTAGTATTTTCCCTAGTATTGACTAGACCTTCGAAGATACTAATATACAAGTATGATGCTTGAAGTTCAAATAAAGATAGGGGTTGGGGATAGGACTCGAGCAAGTCCATCCAGATTATCATTTATACTCTATCAAGAAAGTTAAAGAACAACACCGATAACCTGTTATGAATTACATTCACTGAAGCCACCGAGTCTTACTCTCAAATCATATTAGCTGGCGATTGATCATCATCAAACCAGCTAATAAGCTAAGTTTTCCCTATCCAATCAAGACTGAAGTGAATTAGAAGCGGGGATACGTGTGACTGATTACTGATTGGGTTATCTAACGAGTAGGAAGTTTCAGGTTATTCAGCTGAATAAACTTCCCAGAGGCTGAAGGGAAACTTGGATCTGGTTAACAGTTGAACTCTGTAGCTTGGTTGATTTAGCATAGTGCTCGCAATTCATAGGCCACTTGTTTTGGTCTTACCTTCATTCACGTTATCATTTCAAACCGTCATTACACCGTGTTTTTGAGTGGCTAAATGGTTAAGGCGTTCGCCATGAAACCCGAAGGTCCAGAGTTCGTCCCCTAGTCGGGTCGTGCGTGCGTACTGCTGAGTCCCATACTAGGACGAAACAGCTGTCCAGTGCTTTCAGAGTTTCATTGGTTCCCCAGCTTATGTCAGTTCATGATGAATACTACTTCTAAATTAAAAATCCCCACTCATCTCAAAAATACATTACTGTATGGTGTCATCATACTGTTAGAAGTATATATTTTTAACATGTTAGTGGGTTTTTTTTGTTATGTATTTTCTTTTACCCGTTTTTCACCCTTCTATACCCTTTTTGCTACTCACCTTAGATCAAATCAATGGAAATTCAAACAGGTTACAGCCCAGGGACAAGTAAACGTCGACATCCTGGTTTAGTGTTTACAAGTCGATCAGCGCGTCGTTCAGGTTATTTTATGGTCAATATGGTGCTAATCAGTTGCGTACTCTGCCTTTTATCGTTTTCAGCATTCTCTGTACCAGCTAATGAAAACAGACTACAACTCTCTCTGTTACTTTTACTCACAACAGTCACCTTTAAATTTGCCGCTTCACAAAATCTTCCCAAAATCTCTTATTTAACATATTTGGTATGTTTATATTTAATGTATTGCTTGGTTTTTCTTCATTTTGATTTCTGTTTGTCAAGAAACCGAGGTTATTTTGAAAGTCAGGGAACAAACTGGAATTTGTGTTCATGAATTTGAAGTTTTTTTAAGATGCTACGTTATTCTTACATCTGTTTGTAAATAGACGTGAGGTATTTTAGGAATAGAATTGCCAAATTAGCTAACAGCATGTAGTTATTTGTATATTTCTATGAAGTTGAGTTCCCACATGATTGCTGTCATCAAAACTTGACATCAGCTGAGGTACTGCTGAACACCTCACTTTCAAGACAGAGATCATCTGCACGTCTTAACTATTCCTTTCTAAACTTAATTTAATTCAATGACTGAAAACCAGTGGATGGATTATGAAATTTGATGACTATCAACTTCTGTCTATATAAGATTGTGAATGACTAAGATTTGTCGACATAAGATTTGACAGGTGTCCAGTTCCCTTGGTTTCCAGTGCTATTTGAGTTAATGTCTGTTCATAGCGAGAACTGTTTTGAAATTCAGTTACTCATTGAGGAGGACTTTAAAATTACCGGCAAGTCCTCACATGTGACATTTTTTGAGATGGATTCCCTGAAGTCCCAATGAGAAGCTGTGCCCTTTGTAGTCAATTAATTTGAGTTTGAGGACACATGAACACCAGCAGCAATGAATGATGGTCATATCACGTCACCAGTTAATAGAGGTAGAAAACAATGAACCGTTAGATTTCAAATTAGTGGCTGGATAGTCACATGCCCCCCCCCCACTAGATCTGATCACCTTGGGTGCACAGTGTTGGGGGAGTTCTATCATCCTAAGTCTTCAACGGTTATCAAACTACCTTAAGATCAATCAATAAACTCCCATAACGCAACTATCTGGAATACGTTATGCTTTTAAACACACGGTAATAAACTCGATTATGAACAAGCTGAAAGTGTTATAATTTATTATACTTTATTGTAAGTTAGATGTTCATATCAATGTTGCAGTTAGACTACAGGATCAGTATCTCATCAGCTGTCAGTCACATCCACTAGAAATCGAACCTTTTTCTCCTGCTAGCCTCTTTTAACTGCCCATTTGGTTGGATTGAAAAGCTTTTATGCCCATTGCAGAATGGTTTCTTTTGTTCAGTAGAAGAATATCAAGGCCATCCCTTTTGCCTTACTTTAGGGTTACCTATGTGAGGTCAAATTATAGGAATATTAAAATTTCAGGCATATAGGAAAGCAACTGCTCAACTACAATTCCGACAACTCAATTATGAACAAAAATCACATTGTGGTACATTGAACCTGTCAGAAAGAAAGAAAACTATCAACTAACTTTCTTATGATAAAACAGATATCCACTCAATTCCACTAAAAGCTCCTTGTCCAGCTCATTGTCATTAAACAGGTCAACCGTGAATACAAACAGGTGGATTACTGTACATCAAGAAAGTTTCATAAAACTTTTAAGGATCACTATATTTCACAAACCTACTAAATTTCTACATTCTATGTTGCACAAGCGGAAAGAAGCAATAGCAAATGGGGAAAAACCAGCATGAACTACAAGATAAGTTGAAATAGTTACACATTGGATGACCGGCTCTCTTCTACAGCACCAACTAGCAGAGAGTGCGAAAATCCTAGGCAAATGCAGTGCTAAGAACACACAAAAATATTTTAGAATCCGAATACTCTGTTTAACCAGTAACCAATAGATATATTGAAAGTGGTCGGATCACAGCTGATTAGTGATGTGCTTTGAGATGGATATCCCGGAAGTTCTAATGAGGAGCGGTGACCTGTAGGGTTAACCAGTCCGAAGTAAAGCAGACGCCAACTGAAGAACTTGATGGACACTTACGCTGTATCTGAAATTTAGAGAAGTAGGAAGCTGGGGTTATTGAACAGCGACCCAGTGTCTGAATGGCTAACGCGTTTCCAGTGAAACCTAGGGGTCTTGAGTTCAGCCCTTATTGTAGTTGTGCGTTCATACTGCTGAGGAATCTACAATTCCTAACCACCAGTTTCTGGCATGAAGTGGACCCAAATTGAGAAATCTTTATTTCCCTACACGCCTCAGATCAGTAGTAAGATACTTCAGGGGTTGATCCTATGTTCTTGTCTAGCCACTTTTATAATTGAAGTCGCTACTTGCATTTATAATAATCAAAACGTCATTGTGTAACTAAAGAACACGAATTCAATATCTGTTGTTGCCCAACTTTGTCGATTTCAGTATACAGTAGGACCAGCTTCAATTGACCCCATCTAATGAAGCAGTACCTGTTTGTTTGTAAATATATACAAATTAAACAAGAGTTTTTCAATTAGGAGGTTTATGAGGAAATATTGACTTAAAGGTGATATTCATCCCATGGTGACATCACTTGGATTGTAGCATCATATAACATTGCATATAGCTATTGAATGAGGTTGATAATGGTTTGTGGCACTAAGACCGTAATGTTGAAGCAACTGCCTGCCAAATGAATTCTCAATCGACGCTGTTGAAGGCCTTTTTCAAAGTCGACGAAGTTGAGGTAAAGATCTATTTCACTGTCATTCTATCCTCTGTTATATGATGATATATATGGCATGAATTCCATCATATGTAAATCATCATTCATCGAGACTACACTGAGATTTTCGAAACAGTGGTATGATGCTTTAGCATGCAGACACACCTAGTTGACAAGTATCAAATGAAATAAATCAGTCTTCTTGAATATATGAAGTATCTTCACCTTAAGAATGTGCATCCATATGTAACGAAACTCAGCAAAAAGTAGTTAAATGCTTAACATATTCCTGAAAAAAGTGTTTTCCAGTGAATTATATATTACCTGTCAACAGTGGCATGATGTCTATATAACCTTTCATATAAATATGATTCCTCTAACATTATCTCTTCTGACTTTGTATGTTCTTTCATTCATCTGACTCTTCTTTATTCATCAATATGCAAAAAGCAGAATATTCAAGCTAACTTCCAAATGCTTCCAAAAGCTATCTATCTAGTATCCGAATTATGTTTATTGTTCTATTTTATTTGACTCGAATTCATGCAGTTTCTACGTTCTAGTCCTCTAATATTTTTATGAAAAATTACGAACTACCTTATAAGTATGAAGGTATCCTGACTAACAATGGACTGGATAGTTTGAAAAACTTGGGCACCGAGTTAGTATGATTCATTGTATAAGGTGTATTTTTACTTGTGTACTCTCCGTGCAGTATATTAGAACAAGTAACAAAATAAACGAAATATTTCGTTTATTTGTTACTTGTTCTAATATACTACACGGAGAGTACACAAGTAAAAATACACCATATGCGATGCACCTTATAAGCAGCCTAAATTAAACTAAATGTTTTTTTACTCATTTCAAAACTATTTTTTATAGGACAAAGTTGTGCTTGTGAATTTCTTCATGCTTGTCATTCTCACTGTCTGGCATGCTATAGCTCGTGCTGTATCTGCTTCAAGGCCAAATTTTCTAGAATATGAACATTATGTTATGTACAGTCTACTCAGTTGTTATTGCCTCGGTTCAGTATTATTTGGATTAACTGTTTATTTAGACGTAAGTGATTCGATTGTTAATTTTCGTTATTTATTATAATGACTAAGGTCAGGACTAAGGTCAGAATGATTTACAGGGTACCTGTATAACATCACACTCTCAGTATCCACATTGTTACCTGTTGACTGCAAGACGCTTAAAGGCTGTTCCTTCAGTTATCACTGTCGTTTGGATATGCCTCTAGGGTATCGTAGAAAAAACAGTATGAGTCAAATAACCTCAGAACAACAGAATCTGGAAACTAGATTTGGCACAATAGCACATAGTCTTCTTTGCTTGGTGGAAACTCATCAGCTGCAAATACCCCGTCATTGAAACGAATATCATTATTTTCGAATAGTTTCGTAATACATTTTAAATTCTAGTCCAAATCATAACCAGTAAGGAATTTAGGACAAAATAAAAGGCGATCAGCTTACAAGGCGTTAGATGTTTGGTCGGTATCGGCGACAAGCTTGATAACGATGTAGTGACCTTGAAATTCATAGTCTTCCACGGCTGCTATTGTCTTCAAGTGTTTTTCTCTTTATGTATGCCTGCAGCGAAAAATTACGGTCATGCTCTCATTCTGTCCGCAGTTACAATAATATCCATATTCTCTTATTGCATAGCTTTGTTTCTTAGATAGTCATCGTTTTGAATTCCACTAGTTACTTTCTTACCTATAACCTTATGAAGTAGAAACGATTCTTCACAGAAGAGGCAGCGAAGACGGCACTTCAAGCAAACGTGGAGAAGACAGAGGTGACGATGATACCCAATCAACACCACCACCACCAACAACAACAAGCTACTATCACCGTCAACGGGAAAAACTTAAAGGAAGTAGTCTCTTTCACCTACACCCACCTAGGCAGCATCGTTTCAACTACACGCGGCACAGGCACAGACGAGGACGTCAAAGCCAGCCAGGATCGGAAAAGCAAGACAGGCATCCATTTGCCTGAAACCAGTGTGGAGATCTTCTGCACTCAGCACAAGGTGTGAACAACATCCGGATTTTCAACATCAATGCCAGTCAAGTCAGTGCTTCTAAGTGATGTTTCAGAGACTTGGCGCATTACGAAAGGCATTTCCAACAGACTGCAAACATTCATCAACAAGTGCCTACGCTGGCTCTTTACTGAAGCTCAGATGGCCAGAATAATAATAATACGCAACAAGGAACTCTGGGAACGAACCAACTAAGCAGGAACCTATCACTGAACAAATATGCAGTGGAAGGAAGTGGAGATGGATTGGGCATGCACTGAGAAGACCATTCGTGGACATCACGAGTAGAACCCAGATTGGAAAGTTTGAGTTGGGCGTCCGAGGTGATGGTGACATGGAGGAGATGATGAGAGGAAGAAATGAGAGGTTGTGGGCAGTCGTGAAGCCAGGTTCAAAAGATTGCGGAGAACAAAGTGAAATACAGACGTGCTGCTGAAGCTCTATGTTCCACTAGGAACTCAAGGGACAAATATAATAATAATAATAATCTTATTCTATTTTACACTTCTGGAACTTTTCTTCTATTGACAAAAGTAAGATGACCAACAATCGAGATGTTGGTGTACACTTGCTCCATCTGGAAATGATGTTTTTTGAGATGGTATTTAAAGCAAGTTGGACGTAATGACTTTATGAGATTTCGGCAGGACTTCTCGGCTGTAAATTTAACAAATTACATTGAATCTCAAAGTCGTTGTGCCATGGCAGTTAGATGACGTGAATCACTATCATGTGTGAGCACGATAAAAATAACCTTCAAATTTTATGTTTTGTTTTAAATCTTGGAAAAAAGAAGAAATGGTTGAGCAGTAGATGGTTGACTGACAAGTCAATTATGCCTGTAAATATTGTATTATTTATGCGCATATAAGCGCCTTTAGCATTCTGAAGATATTCAAGGAGGTTTTATGAACCTATCCAAATACAGAATTAAACTCATGGTTGTGTAATTTTCAAGGGACTCTTTTGGCAAATTTAATTCGTTCCTAAGATTCCGGTAATTTAATACTTCTTAACCGAATAAACGTTCTAGTGAGGTTCAATCCAGCTCATTTATATCTCTTACGATATGTAAAAGGCGAATACAGAAAGTATCAAATCCTTGGCTTGTATTCCGAATGATAACATTTCATTTCACTTTACTAATAGAAAATAAAACCAGAGAAAAAAAATGTGTTCTAGTACCGAAAGTTAAGACTAACTATCTTCATCTTCGTTATACTGGATCAGGTAGATAAACTCAAATGACACAAACTGCAGTGAATGCAAGCTGATTTTTTCAAAATCTGTCGCATAATGACTTTAAAAATATTTTCAAACAACCAGGTAATGTTCATGTTTTATAAGATTGTATGCTTTCGAAGTTCCTGGATTACAATTATGTTTAATAATCAACCTCTGGTGATCTGTTCAATAACACGAGACGACGCACATCTTTGAGAAGCAAATCAGCTCACTTGCTTCAAATTAAATTAACTTCATATCCATAAAGTATGGAATCACTCTCTCTTCAGATGTGTTGCGTAATGTACACAACTATCGATATCATAATTTGTAGTTTCCCCTCATTGAGTGAATAGTATTTATCGGCTACTATTGGTATACAGAGCCCTGTGTAGACACTTCACTATTGCCAGTAGATTTATTTTGGCGTTGAGGATAAAAATTGACTTACAGCGGAATTTAGAGCGTGCGTTTCGTCCTATTGTAACTCGTCAGCTGGATGGAGCTGCCATCTTGAATACCACTGCTAGTTACTATTTAACACAACCACTAACCTTTTTTAAAAATTGACCTCCCTTAAGCTACAGTTTTTTCACTACTTTTAAATACATATGTGAATAACTGAAAGCGCTTCGATCAATGGTTGTCTGTTATACTTATAACCATATTCCTTACTATTGTTTCTCTTTTTCCATTTCAGTTGATTTATTAGATGTATCACACAATGGAATAGTTTTATTTATTGGACTCAGTATCAGACACAATTTAATGTCCATAGTCGTATCAAGTTAGCCCCACAACTCTGGAAAATAGTTTATATAGTTCTAGTTTTCTCGCCGTTTTTGTGATGTAGACAGTAGGATATTCTGGAACAGACGCCGATTCATTCCTATTGCATGTATATGGTGTCGATTCGATAAACACAGATCCGGTTATGAATCTCTCCCTCCACCACGCTAGGTTAGTCCTAAAGGTTTTCACCTTATCGCATCCTATTGTGTGGTTGTGTAATCGCATGCATAGCTATCACCAAGTGTTTTTCTGGGTTCCTTATCTTACTAGGATCTACCAATTTTGATCTAGTTAGGCTTTCTTGCTCGGGTAGCCCAACTGACTCTGGTCAACTACTTTGACCCATGTATTTGGTCTCACAATCGTTGCAAGTGATTATTCTGTCTAACTGGTTCAGTCGGATCCTTTAATCTAAAATGATTATTTCCAGATGAGTTTGTAGGTTTAAATACCACTCTAATCCCAGCCTTAATGAAGATCCTGCGTAGTGTCTTTGAGGTGCCTTCCTTGTATGGTAACACTGTAGGTTTCGAGTCCTCTCTTCACAGTATTGATATTATTACTATTACTATGGTTATGATTGTCGTTATTATTTCCATTATTAGCACTTGTGTTACAAATATTAGTTATATTTTTCTTGCGATTGGTAGGAAATTTATTAGCTAATTTATTAATTGTTAATTATTGGGTCTGATTTCATGTCTCAGGTCTGTTTAGTTAATAAGATTCTGGTCCCTGTCACTTAGAAATTTCATTAAGCCAACTTTAACTGGCATAGGGTGAGATGACTGAAAGTCTAGGTGACGATTCGAGTGTAAAGCTTTTCTAAAAACCCTAGTGTCTAAACTATCATGTTGTTTTCGTTCTATTCTGAGATTCAATATAGCGAATTCCCCGTCACCTTTTTATAATTCATAAATAAATCGGATTTAATTGACTAGCGAATTTATATGTTTAAAGAAACTATCTATGTTCTGTATTCAACACTGTAAACGTGTCTTCTAAATGTCGAAACCATAATTTTAAAGTAGGACAAAATGTTTTGACATCCATTCGTTCCCAACTGTCCATAAATATGTCCACCGCTAACAATTTTTTCATTGTTACCTAAGTGTAGATCATTTAATATATGCTTCAAATCGTAAGACTTAGTAAGTCTAGATTTAGAACGGTTTCCAGTTAGGCCTGGTACCACTGATAAGTACTGAGATAAACCGTAAGCAGGAGTGGCTTAGTAAGAGGTTTAAGTAGCAGGGACAAAAAGCTGATTAGTGAAACGGAAGATCTGAGAGAAGAAATCAGACACAATAAAGACAACTTACTCATTAGTAATTAGCCTCCTAAATTAACTGATAAATTCCGTACTAATCGTAAGAAAAATATAACTGATATTAGTAACATATGTGGTCATAGTGACAATAATAATAATAGTGACCATGCTGTAAATAGAGAATTCAAAATCTCTACAGTATTACCATACCAAAAAAGGCACCTCAGAGACACTACGTAGGATCTTCATTAAAGCTGGGATTAGATTGGTATTTAAACCTGCAAAACTCATCTGGAAATAATCTTTTTAGGTTAAAGGATCCTACTGATCCAATTAGTAATTTCAAAGTCCTATAGGTTATTCGGAGCAAGAATCATTTGAGTGGACAATTGTTTTCAGTATCTTCATATTCAAGCTCTACAATCATAAATCCATGAGAATAAGTGAAATACAATAGCCATGGTAAGGCATAATACAGAATTATTCTAATATCGAAAGAATCAATGTTATGAATGAATGGAGATCAAATCAAATGGATGTAAGTTATTATGTGTGATGATAATCAGTTTGGTGTTAGTTGTGCAAGGAAATCAGTACAGACGGAACAGTTAGAAAGTACGGAGACGTAATCTAGAGGTAATGATTCATTTATATTTAAAACAAGCAACGAATATGAAAAAAAAAATCAGAATTTAATGAATTTTTAATAAATTTCAGTAGTACTAGTCATCTAGATACTGTACATACTTGATTATGTATACAGTTAATCGATACAAAATAATATACATACATGTACTTATAACCTAGACTGAAACAGATTTAAATGCAACAATATAGAAATAAACATGGTAATTTGGTTGGTTGTGGCTAGCACAGGAATCCAGGATGCGCGTTTCGTCCCATTTGGAATTTGTCAGCTGAAAGAAGTGGTTATCATTCTTCCGTGGCATAGTGGATAATGGCTTGGTGTTTGAAGTGATGGACACGATGTTCGAGTCTCAGTGTGAACGACATCACTCACTGAGGTGCAGGCACATCCAGCTGACGAGTCTCAAGTGGAACGAAACGCGCATCCTAGATTCCTCTACTAATCACAACCAACCAAATTACTATAATCAACACTTAGACAACATCAAGGCATCCACACAGGAGCTTATATGCCAATAGAGGTGGGACAATTAGATCCAGTAGAACAACGGGGAATTACAAGTATGCCAATAAATAGAAATTAACAGTTTTTACAGGTCAAGTGGCAATATATGGGGTAGAAATGGTTGTTCAAAATTGAATGGGTTGGGAATAGGTTAACCGAGTTTGGATAATAGTGGATTTCAGGTAGGAAAGTAATAAGAATAATACTATTGACACAGGGGTGAGAACTGAATCGATTGAGCGTCGACAGGTCATTCATAACAAGATAGTTAACAGTACTAATGAAGACACAATAAGAAAACCAGGTGTATATTGAGATGATTGGTAATGATAACAGTGGTGATAAAAATAAGGTTAGTTAGGCGAAACATATCGAGGCAAGAAAACAGAATATAAGATGAATGAAAATGAAAAGCGAGAGCATATGAGAAAGATTAAACATAATAAGACGATGTTGTAATTCCTACCATGGTAGATTCAAGCTAACTATTATTTCCTTCTGAATGCACAGGTTCGGTTTGAAAATACGAATTGCGCAGGCTTCTACATATCCAAGCAACTTCTTATTTTGCTGCCTGATGATAAAAGACTTATAGGTGTCGATATCATGTCCAGAATCCATTAGGTGTTTTGTTACCGAGCTCCTCGTGGTCTTCTTCCCGACGTGCTTCAACTATTTGGGTAGGTACTTAATCGTTCTACCAATATATTTGCTTCCGCAGGTACATTCGAATTGACATATGCATCTAGACGTTTCGAGGACCGGATTTTTGTCTCCCCCTGATTGTTGTAGTACCTTTTGGCGGGTCTGAGAAGAATGAGTTTAACAGCGTAACAAGTCCTCTTGACAGGCTTCTCCAGTCTTCATCTTACTGCATCTAGCAAGTCGTCACATCTGAATGGCGGGGTGATATAGACTGGTTTCTTCTGCACTGTTAGGGACGTTGTTCTGCTTCCTACCCATTCTGCATGCTTTTTGCCAAAGCTTTGTGGGTGCCCATTCTTCACTTGCATGCTTTTCAAAGTCACCATTTCGTAGTCTAGTGTGCTGTCGGAACAAATTTTCCCGGCTCTGTTAAACAGCGTTCTGACTACATTAACTTTGTATTGGATGAGGACAAAGTTCTTAAAATCAAGCCTTTGTCATGTCATTGGAGGTTTCTTAAAGATGGACCTTTCGATAGACCCATCGATTTTTTTCACTAATGAAACATCTAAGAACTGATCATATTATTTTCCTCGTTCTCAGTCTTAATGGTTAGATTTGGGTGACAGGAATTGAAGCTCCTCAGTAGTGCTTCTAATTCCACTTCATTATTACATGCAACGAAGATGTCGTCCATGTAAT